CCTGGGGATCCCCTGTCCCCCAGGAGCAGTACTTGGGGTGTATTTTAGGTTGCAGTGGAAGGAGGGAAGCAAGGAAGTGCCATGTCACTGATGGAAATCCCTTTTCCATTAGTGGAGATTTTACGCGGAATCTAATGCTGTGTGTTTTTAAGGCTCTCTCATATATTACTTAAGATATTAGACCAAACTGATAATCTCTGATGACTGATAATGACCTTCCTTGTGACTCAGCTTTGAAACACTTAATACAAAATATAAGCTGGGGCCCAGACTCCTCTTGGGTCCTGTTTGCAGTGCCACAGGGTGGTGGTCCTTGCTGGGTGGAGGGGGTGGGCCAGTGGTGAGCATGGGAAGCTGGGGCCACCCGACCTGACACCTGTCCTATCAGCAGGTCCTGGGCGTTGGGCGTGCCACCCCCACCCACCAGCTATGTGTATTGCCTCAGGACCTCTGTGATGTCACTTGCATTGCCTAAATTGCCTAAAATGTTACATTTCAGTAAAAGCACAGTTTTCATCTTTAATGTCAAAATTAGTTTAGTCTTTCATATATATAGATTAAATAAAGGACTAATACACGCTAGCTTGCAAGCTAGCTTTGCTTATTGTGTAAATAAATAACGAGTTTGTTGATTGTTAATCAGAATCTTAAGCCCTGGCATGTGCACAGAGGCAAGCAAATGGGCTGAGACAGAAAGACACATGAAACAGACACACTTAACATTGGCTGGAAACAACAGCAGAGCCATAGGTCACAAGGACGGACCAAGTATCTTCTCATTCTCTCCCTCCTACTGTACAATGTGGTCAAAGAGAAAGAAAATAAGATAGGGTCAAGCTCGTAGAATGATGGGGCATTTGGGGTGAAGCCCCTCCACCCATGAGCCCTGCCCTTGATGATGCCAGACACCCCCATCCCCAGTGCGCCTAGCCCCACAGCTGCGAGGCTGGAGAAAGAACAGGAAGCCACTCTTCAGCTTCTGTTCAGTTTCACTCCCTGCGGACCAGCTGTTAGGTTTAACAGATGAAAGGAGGGGAGTGAAACTGACCAGAAGTGGCAGGGCAGCTTTCCTTTTCTTCCCCAGCCTCCCCACCACTGTGGGGAGCTGGGGAACGAAAAGAAAGCTGCCCTGCCGCTTTTGGTCAGTTTCACTCCCCTCAGATCAGCTGTTAAACCTAAGGCTGTTCCTGGGGGAGTGAAACTGAACAGAAGCAGCAGGGCAACTTTTCTTTCCTTCCCCAGCCTCTCCGCTGCTGGGAGGGTGGGGAGGAAAGAGAGTGAGAGAAGGCATGGTGGTAGTGATGGGGAAGCCAATCTCTCTCTCTCTCCCATCTCTTTCCAAGGCGGGGGTGAGGTTGGTGATGGTGGGGGAAAGCCCATTTCTCTCTCCTGCGGTTGCCAATCTTTGGTGGTGGCTGGAAATCTCCTGGCATTACACCTGATCTCCAGGGGAACTCTATGAAGTCCCTCCCCTTTCCAAACCTCGTGCTCCCAAAATCTCCAGTTATTTATTATTTTTAAGTATAAGTGTAAGCATAATGGGTGCCCCACAAGAAAAGAAATTGCCCCACAAAACAAAAAATCTTGGCTATGGCCCTGGATAGGGTGACTGGAAAGAAGAGGAATAGCCCAGGCTCAGTGTCAGTAATAGTTGTAAAGTTCTGAGCAGATTCCAAGCCATACTGGCTGCTGATGGCGGTGGCCCTGTAGAGAGCGTTCTGAGAGTTCCGTCTTAGAATCATGATGACAGGTGTGTCATTTATAGTATAGTGGGGCTGCTGGAAATGCTCTCACCATATTTAATTCAGAGGGGCATTTTCCTATTTGTTGCTTAACTCTGAAGAAACTGGCATTAGAAGGTCACTCTGGACAGCATTCTGCCTCTTCACAGTGGTCAGAGAAGTTTTGCATATGGGTTCACAGTCTCCATGAAACTGTTGCGATACTTACTGTTCCCAGTTAAATGTGGTCTTGCGTGGAACAGGGACATAATGGGTGGGGGGACTGTACATGGCCATTTTCATCTAGGAAACTTGAAGACAAGTGCTTCATTGGTTGAACATTGATCCAGAGGAGTTAGCCATGTTAGTCTGTTGCTGCAAAGTAGTAAAAAGCCCAGTTGCACATTTAAGACTAACAAACTTTGTTGTAGCATCATAATTCTTGAAAGCTTATGCTACAATAAGGTTTGTTAGTCTTAAAGTTGGTAGTGGGCTTTTAACTATATTGGTTGAACCAGTGTTTAATTCATTGGTATGTACATATATTCATTGCCAAACTCACACCAAGAGATGATGAATCTTCTGTGACCTACTCTAATGTTATGTAACTGTAGAAGGCTCATAGCTCCAGTTTAACTTAATAAAGATCAACATTTGTCTCATAGTAGTGACACCTGAAATTTGATTATTATTTTTTTAAAGTTTTTTGTTTACTAAGCCTTTCAGTGCCTGATTTTTTTCCTGGTATAGCATTAGGCTACTTAACTGCCTCAAGAAGTGAATACATGTGTATATCAAAAGCTATGTATGGAAAGAGTAATGAACCCAGGAAAGCAAGGGTAAGTTCAGGGAACATGTGAAAATGCAGTCCTACTATAAAAGGAATCACAAAAACCTGGGTTTATTTTGCCATAAATAGCACTTTTGAAATTTATCATTCAGCACGTAAAATTCAGAATTATGAAAAAGCACAGCATTACATCATTACAGAAATAATGGAAAATTTGACTATTACAGGAGTTAGGCAATTGAAACAGTTATAGAATGCATTTTTTCAGTAAGTGGAACATCTGCAAGAAATGTCCACCTGCTGATATACGGCTCAGTGTACTTTTCAATGAAATGCACTTCATCATTTTAAGACATCTTCTAATGAAGCCTTATCAGGATTAACATTTTGAACACAAATACTTTTAGGCATTAAAATACCCATTCTCAATGAGATTGCATTGTCTTGTTTACCCTTGTTCATTAATAAGCAATCTGTTAAATGTTAGAACAGACCAATTGTGCAAGTGGAAGCTGATTAGTAAGTAATTCAGCTATGTTTATGGATATAATCATAATTTCTGTTGAAGACTTTCAGTTTAAGAATCACTTTCCCATTAACCATAGACATAAAAGTAATAAAGATACTAGAAATAAAGATATTAGATACACAGACATAAACATAGATATGCTCGTATCATCATTAGGTGCATTTACCATATATGGGTGAAAAATTTGATCAGGAAACAAATACTGTTCTTATGTACAAAACTTCTGCATTTAATTTCCTTGTTATTTTTAACTAGTAGCAGTATTTCAGTATCTTTAAATTGTCTTTGGAACATTCTTTTGTAAATAACATCAGCAGTATAGATGTTGTTTTTCAGGTACCAGAAACCATAAACTGCTCTGATATTTGTCACAAGGCCATTCATATTAACTGTAATTCTCCCCCCCCCCATCCTCCCTAAAAAGAAACCTAAAATGCTGGGGTGATAACTTAGATTTTTCTCATGGGGTTATGTACTTTCATCTGTAGCATCCTGCAGAGAGAAACAGATGTTGTCAAGTTACAATTTAAATTGCCTGGTAAGCTCCTGAATGTGAACAAGTCTTCCATACTATGATATGGCAGAAGCAGTATACTACATCCATGGCAACTCAGTAAAGGAAACACAGTGAGGGGGGCAGGGCAGAAGGATTCATCTTCCAAGGCACTTGTGGCATATTCCCCCTTGATGTTTCTGCTCTAAAAATATTTAACACACTGTAATGTTGGCTGCAGATGTGCAAAGAGCAGAACAGGAACAAAGGGATGTAGGACAGACAAAAAGACCCACAGAGGGAGGGCACTGGCTCTTTCCCATGTTCCCTTTCCCCCAACAGTCTTTGCTGATTCTTGGCTGCAGTCACACGGAACAGAAGCCACACAAGTGAGATGGAAAACAGGCGGAGTTTCCGGGCGCGATCTCACCAGCACATCTGGGAAGCGTAGCACTCCCGTGGCTCAACCGAGGTTTCCAGCCGAAACTGCGTGGCAAAAAACTAGTACCTCGGAGGTACTAGTTTCCGGAAACTACAGGGCAAGGGCGGGCGTCTGATCGCGTTTCCGGTGGCATCCGGCGCCCGCCCATGTCCCCTTGCAAATAAGGTGGGGTTTTTTGTCCAAGTCTCTGTGGATGTGCACACGCACCCAGCGGAGCATACGCATTTGTCGTGTACACAAAAAAAAAACCCCAGTTTGCCGCGGCGCGCGCTTCTTCGTTGCGCGCCGGCTTGTCCTGTGATCAGCACCTCTCCCTTGCCATGGAACCTCCACGGTACCTCCACAGAACCTCCATGGGAGGTCTGATCGCGTACCTGCACAGTAGTTTGCCCCAGGGCAAACAGCCACGCTTCTCCCCCGCGGTTTCCTGCCTGTGTGACCGGGGCCCTTAAAAAGCTGATTTTGGGATCTGGGGGAGACTTTTGAACAAAATGACTGAGGAGAAGAATCAGCCAAAGTTGCCTCCATCCTCTTATGTTCATGAAGTTTCTGCAAACATATGGACATGCCATCATAGATAGACATTACAGCAACTACATGGTGTGTTTACCCCAGAGAAGTGTTCTCACTAGCAACCACATTACTTCCATAACATATAAAGCAGTCCTGGATTAAGAGAGGTTCAAAATACATACCCTGGACTTTGGACCATATTGGTTTCTAACTCTGTATGGAATTGTATGGGAACGATGCATACAGGGTTTTGTTTCTTTGTTTGTTTGTCTTAAAAGACATTGTCAAGTTACTCAGCAAATATTGAAAGAGTACAGTAAATGTTGATGGGAGCCCATTATTTAAACAGATGCTTCCTTGGGATAAAGAAGAAAGTTTTACTATTACAAGTCGTATGAGTCTTCATTGAACAGACATATATAACATTCACTGGACTCTACAACTTCCCACTGAATTATTATATTATAGTGGAATATATAGAGCACTGACATTGGCCCTTCTTCTGTCCACAGTCTCTCTGCTGTGAAATTAAGCAGAGACGCCGGGGCGTAGGCTCAGTGTTGCGCTTGTGCCAGCACCTCCTCGATGACCAAGAGACCTGTAATCTGAATGCGGATCACCAGTCTATGCAGCTGATAATCGTAAATCTTGAAAGAAGGTGGGAAGCCATTGTCATGCAAGCTGTCCAATGGCAATCTAGGCTGCAGAAGAAGTTGTCAAAAGATTCAGTAAGTGACATCTGCCTGACATTATTTTCCTCTCCCAGCTGCCCATATGGGTCACCCCCTCCAAAATGTTTACAAAATTCTTTCAACTTACTTTTGATGTCTTCACTGAAGGTGCTATTGCAGCCAAATAATTAGGTTCCTGAACCTGTCTTTCAAAACTTATAATGGTCCTGTCAGCGGAATCAACTGATTAATGGGCTGTGCAAACACTCTTGAGTTCTATGTTTTTAACAGCACAGATTCTAATCCTTTTTAGGCACTGAATGTAAAATGGAAATCAGTGGCCGATAAGGACAGACAGCCTTTCTGCAAATTAGAGTAAAATAGTTCTCACATGTCATAGCATGATACCGTATGATCACTTCTCTGAATCTCGGTAATGCAGATATGAACATTCTGTATGTCCACCAATACTATATATTTATCTGCTCATGCTCTTCTCCCCACCTACTTCAGCCTTCACTGTGACTGGTAGAAACAAAGAGCAGGGATAAATTATGTGTTGTTAATGCTGTGTTCAATTGTAGAATGATAAACTGTAATCCATGTAACACCGTTTATTAGAATCAACTCAGTGACACAAGCTTTTGAGCTCACCAGAACTTCTCATCAGAACATATCTAACAAAAAAATTAAAATTATGAGGGAAGGAAAAAAGCAGGTATTTCTGGTCCTGATCATGTGTTAAGAGCATGATTTGAAAAATATGTTTTATTTATTCCCTCCCAAAAAAGTTTGTAACATCTGGCCTGATGATGAATTCTGGTGAACTGAAAAGGTTGCATACTGTTATGTGTCATTTTGTTGGCCCTAATAAAAAGTATTACATGGACTGTATTTTTTGGCTTTTATTTTTGGACCAACACAGCTGTAAACCACTTCTTTCTGCACGTAATCTCATCTAACATCCAGAGAAAGGGACAAGTACATGGCTCAGTGGTATGGCATGAGCTTTGAATGCAGATGTTTTCCCAGTTGAAGCATGTGAAGTGGTAAATTTGGGAAGAGACCTTTCTCACCCGAAACCCTAGAGCTTCTGCTGGTAGAAAATACTGAGCTGGGTAGACTAACAGTCTGACTTAGTATATCTTCATCCTGTCCCGAGACATACTTTCTAAAATTTAAAAGCTTTGCTGACATGTGCCAGTACAACTTCTCCCTTAAAAAAACCCTTGAAACTCTACTCCTCAGGTGCAATGAACAGTTGTAACTGGAACCTGCTTGCAATGAGAGGATAAATAGCATTTCTGTTTTTATTTCAGTTGAAATATCAGCAGCTGCAAACAACCTGCTTTGGTTTGGTTTGGTTGCCACTTTAGTTTCACCTTATAGCACTCACAAATACTATTCTCATGTGCCTGGAGCAGAGGCAAGAGGCAACTGTGAAAACAATCCTGCGGGCTGCTGAACACAAGTGTAAACTACCACTGCAACCAGAGCCCACTCTCATCTTTTCCATGGGAGCTGCTGCTGCGTGTAATGGTAGTGACTCTAAATAAGCCGCTATGTGCTAATTAAAGGCTAGTGCTGCTCTTGCAGCAGGAGTGAAGTAGTCTTGTGGCTCTATTTGGATAGGAATCGATTGGGAGATAAGGTAGGGGGAGTGTTACAAGCACTGTATGTTTTCTTGATGTCAGGATGCCAGAGAACTTCACAAGCTCCACACTGCTTTGTTCCCTCTTTGCCTGGGGTAACCAAGACTTGTTTGCTGGACTGAATTACCTTTTACCTGGCAGGGAAGACAACTTTCCTTCTGCTGAGAAATGGCAACTCACAGTATAGTTATTTCACTTTAATTGTAGGTTTACTTTTGTTTTGAGGGAGCCCTTTGCTACAAACATACGTAAATATGAAAATATGGGTATCCATACTATATCTATGGGTTTCTCATGTGATAAAACAGATGCACTCTATTTGGAAGTGAATTTAGTTTGACTCTCTCTCCTTCAATTCCAAGCTGGCATATACAACGTTTCCTTTCATTCAGTTCCTGTGTAGTCATTTTTTGGGCTGATCCCAAGACTGTTTTCTCTGCTTTGCCTATCTCTCCGCACTTGATGGTGTGCCAGTCTTGGCATATGAATGGTATCCCCTGGAAACAAGTGTGTGTTTTTTTTATTTGAGGTTGTCCACAGTATACTGTAATATATGAAAACAAATGGGATGTGTTTACATCGCTGATGGCATCTGACTTGGTATTGGCAAGAGTCACTGACAGTGAAAACACTATCCTGGCTGATTAGAAGCGTTATGGAAGTACAGGACTTGCTTCCTTTTTCCTTCTGTCTGTTAATTCATATACCAACATTTTCCTTTGTACATTTTTGTCTCCATGGTCCTTAAGGTACCCTATTACTACTGCTCACTTCCCTTCAAGGTTTATGTTAAAATAGAGCTTCTTTTGTTTTTAATTTAGTAGCTCTGACAAAGGTCTCTTAAAATTATTTGCTGTTTCTTACCTTCAGTCATTTACTATTGCTTAGAACTTGTTTTTATAAAAGGAGAGTTGAATATTCTAAAAACCTGAATATCTAGTAAAAGTTTCCTTTCAGGATGCAGAACTAAAAACTTCTTAAGACAACTAAAATAAACCCCGTGTCGATTCAACATGACTTCTCCAACACTAGATAAGTAGGCTGAGCAAGACAAAGTCTTGGTGGGTTGTTTCTTATTTGGTCAAACTAGCTCAGAAAGGCAGAGGATTTCTCTATTTCTTAACATTCTGAAACAATCCTCCGTACTCTTTCAATAGTCATGTGTTTTGTAAAGTCTATTTGCATAAAGTTTTGTTTCATTTAATTAATTCCTTTAATGAAGTTAAAAGGATTTTTGAATTATTGTGATTGACAGCCTGTAAAACTTCTAAGCAGTATGTATTCAGCTCTGCAAAAAGTCTCCATAACTCCTTCTATTCTAGTCTTCATCAGTCATTCCCAAATGGTGACTTGCAGAAAATTGTGCTTCTAAACTAGCAATCTGCTAGCCGACTTCTGTTTGCCATGTCTGCCTGTCACTATCAATTTCCATCTTTCCACATTCAAGTCATTCCCAAACATCCTACTGGCTAATTTGATGCCATCTCTAAACTATAGGTAGGAACCCATACAATAGTTAGGGGGATGTTTTCCGGTCTGAATTTTTTTTATTTTCATTTGATATTTGTGCATACGTGTTCTACTGTTTGTACACATGGCTTCAAACTTGATATTTTGTATTCTTCTATGGATAACTACATATAAAATCTATTCTAAAGAAGCAGCAAAGGACATATTTGAATTCCTTAAAATGTTCAATAATATTTATCAGATGTCATTCCTGAGAGGAACATGCCTAATAAGCAAAGCTGGTCTTCAGATTAAATTTGACTAGAAAATCTGAAGTTGGTGAGTGGCCTTTGTCTTTGTGTCTTTCTTCATCTCTGTTCCATATTCACTGTAGTTACCTTGGCTCCCAGAGAACTGACCAAAATCCTCAGGAAAATATAAGACTGGAAGATATGATCAAGGGTCTGCTTTGACACTTCATACAGTCTATTTGTACCCTGATTAGAAAAGCGACATACACCTGAAGATAATATGCATCCAGCCAATCTAGCAGTCATGCACCATTTACAAAACACATGCATGTGCGGATACACTATGCAAACTTTGTTATAGAGGCCTAAGCTAAGTGGCTCTGAGAGGAAGGTGAGAAGTATCCTGGCCCAAATGTGTATTGTGTTCCTCACCTTTTCAGAGTTCTTGAACTCATGAAATAGAAGCTGCTTGTGTAAGCAGAATTATTAGCTACAGGGATTCATGCAAACTAATTCTACCAAAAGAAGTTTTTATCAGCTTTTCAATTCATTACCTATTATTTTTCTAACCTTGCCTTGAAATGGGGTCTGTGTAAAAAGCCACCATCCCTTTCTTTATAAACCAGCTCAGCAGCTATTAAATGCATTGAAGCGATACCTTCAGGAGTTTGGAATGCTCTGGTTGGAATCTGGATCTCTGCAATATTCCTGACTTAGTTTATTCAAATGGTTTGAAATGTACTCCCCTCTCCATCAGGCAAATTTTTGTCCAGTGCTGAGCGCTTCTGTAAGTACAGTGTACTATGTGTCCTGCACAATTCCCATGTGCTTTGGCTTTGAAAGCATGCTGTACATCCAGCCACATAATTGAAAATAATAAGGCCACAATAAATGGGATGGCCTTAGGGTATAACACCCAAGGGATTCAATTGGTGTCGCTCTGCATCAATGTCTATGCATCATGGTAATTGAGGTAACATAACCAATTACCACATTTTAATTAGAGTTGTAAGAACTTGGAAAATTCTGCACTGGTGAGACAGCTCACTTTTTAAAAAATCAAGCGTTCTCTTTTCCAGAAGCCTTTTTCTTGGATGCTTATTCTTGGAAGTCAAAGGAGTTGCTGAAAGTACCATTTCAGAAAAGGTTGGGAAAAAATCCCAGATTCTTTATAATGAATGAAAAGCAAACGTGGAAAATACAAATGGGTGAAAATGCTGCATTGCTGTTGAACCAATATCCTCATCCACTTTTCCTTTTGTCCTTTGCTGTCATTTAGGGAAAAGAAAACAGACCGTTGTAAAGTTTGAGCTAGCCCTAAATTAAGCCTCCCTGTTCTTAGCCCCCCCCCCTTTTTATTGGTATACTGTGGGGGGGGGGATTGGTGGAATAATGCTCCTCATACAGTTTGAAAAACCATCTATGAAAGAGGCAAATATTATCACTTTGTCATTTGGCTACACATTGGAATGACCTACTAAGGGTGCTAGGCATCTGAAATAGCCTAATTGCAGTCTCAATAATTATTTTGAAAGGTGACAGCTAATACGTAAAGAACAAGTGTGAGAGTTCAGAACTGCTGAATAAAGACCTCTTTCTGTAAACTGGTGTGAAAATCAGAAAAGAAAGGGATTCTGAATCCTTCAGAAATTATTCACACCTGGCATGTTCCACTAATGCCAGAGACTACCTAAACCTTACATTG